CATCCATGTCTTATCTTAATTTTCATATAAGAATCCTTTACGCTAGCCCGTGCGATTTCAGTTCCATGCTGCAAAACCGATAACCTTTAAGAAAGTTTGTTTGTTTGGTCACAGTGTTCGTTTGTACGTGGATCTAAGGCGTGAATTGCGTTTGACCTCAAGTGTAAATGCTGCCATTGATTTTAGACAACTTTCAGTGAACCCTCTGTTTCAATTAGGCGCAGCTCTATCGCGACGGTGCCACATTTATTGTGGATCACCGTTCTGCGATTTTTTGTTAGGTGATGACAATGACGAACGATTGTTATCCAATTAAATCGATACCTAGTGGTGTACACGAGTGTTGATCTCAGGTCAGATGTTTATCACGTTCTCCTTCTCGGTGATTTGTTAGTTTGTCACGGCCCACAGTTTTCAACTGATGGCTCTCAGAGTATTCAAAATGACTCAGTTTTTCTTAGTAGTAGGTGGCATCAGTCTCAATGCATTCGCATATTCAGTTGTTGGTTGTAGTCATTTTTCTTCGTTGCCCCATTGAAGCGAGGGTAATAGGCAAACTAGTAACGTCTTTGGCAAAGTATCTTGATTTATTTTCCTAGCAGATCTGCTCCATTTCCTCTTTTTCGTTATGTGGAGCAATCGAAATGAATGAGAAATACAATTTGAAATTGACTGCTGCAAAAAATACACTCGATACAGAAGTCCCTCAAAGTATTTTCCATTCCCGGTGAAGGTCATCCACAAAAATACCACAAACAGGTACATAACCCACATTTAATTGAGTCATTTATGAGTAGTGGTGTAAGATACGTGATATTGATTTGGACTGAATGCATCTTCACGCACTATACTCGGTTATACCAATCAACCATACACTCCAGTTAATCACAGAAGACGAAAAGTGGTGACACTTATTCCAAACTCTGGTCACCGTCGACAGAAAGGAAAGTACGTTGCAGTGCTACTCCGACACGTGATTAATAATGAATACAAAATAGACACAGGGACTACGTTCAAGGTCTCACACCGACTGATCATGTACACGGTTTGTTGGTGTTACTCAAACCATATCGATTGTGATTTCGTGGTCCGAATTTAGGTTTACGTTTGGGCCCGACTCCAAAGCCCTGACCAACGCTCCTCCTTGGTCACGTAAATTCACAACCTGCATAATACTGAAAAGGTTTTAATGCACAAAACAAAACTGCTTCGACCGTTGTATTCCACCCGCCCTAAAAAAACCGCGCAATTTGGGTAGGGTTAATGGTGGTACAGACTTGACTGAACAACATGGGCTTACTCGTAAACCTTGGAAAATTTGGTACCCACAAACCAATTCGTGGTTTCAATTAAAATCCGATGCTCTGGTTTCTGTGATGAGTTTTATAGATCATGCGCAGTATGTTGATTTATACGCTTGATTTCGTTTTTTTCAGTGTGCGAAATGCGTTTTCGGATTTTCCATCACATGCATGGAATCGTATTGCATCTCTAAATTGATTGCGCACACGGGTATATATATACCACCGGCTTGAAGACAAGCATGGTGCCAACGCAACAACAATATTAACAATAAAAATTAAACGGGATAGATGGATTGGGGTGCAGAACATAGTGAAAATGGGGTGGAGCAGTTAAACATGGGGAAATACAAGGTAACCGAATTTTTGAATAGAGCAGGGGGAACGCCATCGGAGCCCGGCGCTTCGTGACGTCTCAAGGCTTGGATTTCCGCCTCAGAAGGTGGGTCTGTTGAAACAGACCATGGGACGTGTGCCGGAATAGCTGTGTGAGAAGCTGGCGCGGGTGGCCAGCTAAATTGTGCTTCGAAGTGCTCCGCCTAGCGTTCAAGGCGTCGCTGTTGATTATGAATGGCGAACCGTCAGCTTCTCAGATCGTTCCGTTCACACGTAAGGCCTTCCTACCGGTGACCCGGATGAGATGGAACAACTTACGGAAATTACCCATGGCAGCAGCACGTTCCATACGCGTTGAGACCACCAGGTCTCGCGGTCTCTGCGTTGGCTTGCGTTAAGTTCACGTCTCATTACGAGTCTTGTTTGCTCGCTGTCGACCGGAAGTGACCGACATGCGTCAAGAAGGCGTAGAGACTACAGAAATCCAGGGTGTCACGGCGCGATGTGTCGGACCACAACTAACTAAGCCAGCAGAATGCTGAGCATTCTTGATAATCGACCAGTGTTGATTAACATTATCGGGTGGGGTTGGCTCTAGCTTTTCAGCTAGCGTGTTTTGGAAGACAGTTAGACAAGCTGGTTTGGACAGCTTATCACAGTCTAACCGTCGTTGTGTTGTGCGTTTGGAACGCCCACCGAAGCACGTGGACAGCTTGGCGCATACTAATGGGTGGTCGGATTCGAGGGGAGTGCTTCAGTACGATCGGTAGTCTTGAATACAGCCCCGCCATTTGTGGCTTATCGCGATGTNGCGATGTGGTCGATCTGTGTCCGTCGCTGACTCGAGGAGGGCGGACGCCAGGTGGCGTACCGGAAGTTGGAACGTCTGAAGTTCGTACTGGAGAGAAATAGGCAGTGGTCGGAACGGAGAGCCAACAGCCGTTTTCCGAGCAACCGGAATCTAGTCCAAAAGGACCTCCCAGGTGCACCTCACTCGAAGTCAACCGGCCTGCTTTACCATCCATATCTCCCGCTACAATCACGATATCAGCCCTGGTCGCTTCATGCAAGAGGTCGTGTAGGTTGTGGTAAAATTCATCTTTGACTGCATCTGGGATGCAGTCCGTTGGATCGTACGTCGATACGACAAACAAGTTCCGTCTATCGTGGCGATGTCTACTAATCTTACACGCACCCCTAAGTCTCACTGCGCACAACCTACTGTCGACTGGTATCCAGTCCAGGAGCGCGGCTT